TGACAGTGATTTCAAGCTCTGTGCTTGTGGTATTTAAAGAAGCCTGAGAAATCTCAAGTTTCTGACAAATCTGAGTGCTAGCTCTTATTTTGAAGGTAGTAATTAATAAATGAACTGTAACAAATGTTTGTCACAGACTCAGGGCTAGACAAATGAACTAGTGCAGGAAGACTATAAACTATCATGTCATTAATAAGAAAAAGCTCTTATCTATTTTAATATGTTAAAATTTTATCAGATATATACATATATATGTGAAAAAGTGATATCAATATACACTGAGCCATGCCATATATATATCATGCATATACATGTATATGTATGTATGATCACTGATGTTGCAGGAAAGAATGACTGATTAGAAAAGAGGCCAGGGGATGAGAGTGATGACTTCTACAATAATCCAGATGCGGGGTATTGCTTGGTGCACAAGATGCAAGCAGGGAGAGCCGCTTTGGAGGCAGCATCCTGGGGCTCCTGGACGGCTAGGACAAAAATAGCATGCACATGACACAGGTTCTACAATCTGAGGTACAGGATCTCAGGATAAATCCTGAGGGCATTTCACTGACCTTCTCAGACCCAACAGCTACAACTCTTGTTGCACAGGTCCTGCTTTACCTTGGTCTTAACCATCCAGTAGAAAAGTATGAAGACAAAATATAGGAAGTAAAGCCATGCTGTTATGTTGAGCTGTAGGGGACTCAGGTCAATAATTTCTGACATTGCCAGTTATACAGATGACCCAATGCTATTATGGGCTACTGGACTCTTTTAGAATATTTTGCTGAGTTTACACACCTATAATATTCAATAACGGAACTTAGAAAAAATGGGGTATACCGATGAATGTCCATCTTGTATCTGTGTATTCAAAGTGGTTGGGATAGATATATAGTTACATTCTGTTAATGAATAGAATGATTTGTTCTAATGGTGTTTGTAAATAGGATCACAAGTCCGCATCTTGTATAGCAATTAACCACTAAGAAGAATATATGCACTGTATTATTTGTTGAAAAATAAAAAAAATAAAAAATAGCATGCACAGAATAAATGTACAGTGTGATAGGAACAGATCCTAACACTGCACACAAACATTCTTCTAGTCTTCAAGCATCTCCATAAAATAGATATTATCTTCTTTGCCTTATAATGAAAGTGACTAAAGCGTGGAGGGGTTGACATGCTCACCCTCGTGCACGTATTTCATGACGACTCAAACACAGCGTTAAACACAAGAGCCCTGGAAGTGGTATCTTAGGGTTGCATCACTATATACACTATAAAAAAATCTGCCAGATAAAATCAAGTCTGTATTTTCTGTCTGTGATAGAGGCATCAGGCAAATCTCTATCTTTGTTAAAAGTTTACAGAAATATCAAATTTCCTAAATCCAGTCTAATTTTCTCATTCATCATTTCATTTTCTTAGAAATATTGAATGATATGATGGGCCCCATCTTTTATACTTATCATACTCTTTTGAAATGATCAGAAGTGGTTATTACACGTTAGAAGGAAAAATCAGATTAAAAAAATAAGGCATCCAATGGTCTTGGGCTTGCAGCAGAGACCAGAAACAGAGGTGACAGGCAGGACGCAGACAGCAAGTCAGGGGCACAGAAGGTAAACCTCCTTTCCTGGACCACAATATCTGGGCAACAGACTCGAAGGCTGACTAAGATAACTGTACTCACGCCTGTGCACTAATGTATCCATACATGTACATGTGTGTTCAGTTGGAGTCACCGTATTAGTCACCTGAGGGTCACTGAGGTGTACAATAGATCCCCAGAGGCCCCCTTACTAACTCAAAGCTAGCCATAAATAAAATGTCTTTCTGTCAGCTATCCCCTCCGTCCCAAAGATAAGACCTTAAAAGGCAGGTCAAGGAAAAGTAAATGAACAGAAGGAAGCTGTGCGTAGCACTGGGAGAATGACGTTAGGCAGAGGTGTCCAGATGCCAATCCAGGTGGGGCAAGTTCTGGGTAAGGGAGAGGGATATGAGCAGCTTGTTGTATATTATGGGTTGGTGCTGAAAGAAACAAAGAGAAGACCTGATGGATGTAGCTCAGAGGTCTCACTGAGATCAGTCTCCCTCCAAGTGAGCCCAGAGCCTCAGCAGCACCTCACATTTATTGAGGGGTGAAGGCAGGCTAAGGAATGTGCATAATTACTTTGGTGAACGCAAACTACTTTCTCTATCAACTTCCACCATTTGCCTAACACTACGTTCACAAAAATGCTAGCCTATAACATCCCAAGCAAGGGATCAAAGGACAGAGCGGAGAAGCTGTTACCAGCTGTTTCTGCAGCCCTGAATCCCAGCTTTCCAGAATTTACAAGTGAGACAACCCATCTTCTCGGGCTCTGTTATTGCTCCCTGCTCTCTTGGGACATTAGGCTTTTGTCTCATATCTATATTTCTATAGCAGCTGAGAAGGAAGGGCGCACATTTTCTCCATAATTACAGAGTACTCTACCCTGATTCTTACTTAATAGAGTAGCTATGTAGCTCCTCCATTTTCTCTTTCTTTTGCTGCTTTAAAAATACAGTGTCTTCTGTCTGTTTCACATTGTCTCTATCATTTTTATTGAGGCTGACATTCCGGTCCTTGTGGCGTGGTCTTGAACTGCAGGTGCAGAGATTCAGCTGTGCTCTTCACAGATCTATGTAATGCCGGACGAAGCTTTTGATACAGGGCCTCACTAAGCAGCTGGCCCTTCCATATGAGCAGCTTATTGTGGTCGTATTAAGAGGACTTATAGTGCTCTTCCTGCCTCAGCCTTCCTAGCACTAGGGTCACATGTGTGTGCCACTGTGCCCATTTTCAGTGACCGGCAAAGCATGCCCAAGACTCCAGGGCTGGTATGGCTTGTGGTGCCAGGGACTGAACTCAGGTCCCTGCGCTTGCCAAGCAGACACGTAGAATGCCAAGTATCCTCCCAGCTCAAATGTCAGCCTTAATTTTAACAAAACCTCTATTTCTCACAACCTACTTAGTGGGTCTGCCCTATAAGCAGAAGTCATCCGCTATGGAAGTCACCGGGGGAGGGTGGTGGATGCCGTTTTGCCACAGCAAAGGAACTAGCATTAGTCTAGCAGCAGCCATTCATTTTATTTGTTTTTCTGTTTCAAATTTCATTGAGAAACAAATAGCAATGAGATAGTTTCAAAACCAATTAGTAGGACAGTTTCATTAATTAGAACATTGCATATCACTGTCTTCATAGTGGTTATTCATAGTGCAAGATGCAGACATGATATCCTGTCCAAACACTATTTGTACAAATCTTTCTTCTCATTGAATTAAGAGAAAGTAGCTGTATATTTATCCTGTTTTGTGTATACAGATACAAAATGGTCCTTCATTTACATCCCTTTTTTTTTGTTTAGTTTTGTTAGAGATGAGTATTCCATTGTCATTTAAATATTCAGCAAAATAATCCAATATAGTCCAGTAGTCCATAATAGTAGTGGATCATCCACAGGATAAGCAATGTCAGAAGTTGTTGACTTGAGGCTTTTACAGCTCAGCATATTAATATGGCCTCAATTTTTATATCTCATTTTTATACTTTTCTGAGAGATTGTAGAGGATTTCAGAAAATGTTTTTCTTTTAAAGAGAAAAAAAAAAAAACCCAGAATTTGAGAACAAGATGAATGGAGAGTCACAATGACAAACACATTGAATAGTATTACCTTTACAGTAGTTATAAACCTTTCACTGTTAGAGATCTGAGATTACATGATAGCCTTCTTAGGCTCACCACTTATGCACCCAGAGAGCTGGCACTGAATTGGTAACATTGGCAACAGAGAAAATGGGACGTGTTTTTGCCTGTTGATAAAGGAGTGACCTGCTCTTGTCCTACCGAGAACAGAAATTATAACTCAAACACACTTATTTTTTTAAAAAATAAGGTATTGAGGTATTTATAATTGTCCTGGAAATGATTAGGCTGCTGGAAGCTAGTCCTCGGCCGCTCTTCCCAGGTACCAGTGTGTAGTGCAGACTCAGTGGTGCCACTTGCCAAAGCAGCAGTCCTCTAGGAATGGCTCTGCTAGCAACTGATTTGTCTTCAACATGCTGCATAATCCAGTAAGTTAGCTGCCTTGGAATAGTGAGTGTGCGAAATGACTATTTGTAAATACAAAGCGGTTTTGTCCTGCTGGGGTTCGTTTCATTGTTTGGTATCACATAATGATGTAAGGCTGAAAAGAATGGCAGCTTTTTTGTGTTCAGCTACAGGGCACGGCCTCGTGCGGGCTGCCCGGTCACTTGCCCTGGCCCAGCAGATGTCACACACAGGATTTAAATAGCGTTACTTTGATGTCCTCTGCATGATGCAAGCAGTCCTGGAGGTCAGTGAGGCATGTGGAATGGAATTAAATATATTGGATAAAATAGACCTCTACATATCAATTTCTCTTTTTTAAAACTAAATATTTTCTTCTTCTATAGTAAATCAATATAATAAAGGGAGGTGTTATTTAATTTAACATAATTATTCTTAAATTCTCTCGTAGCTCTGAGTTTATGTGGTTGAGCCTGGATGTTCTATGCAGAAGACCTGAAAAGTTGTTTTTTCATACAGAATGTTCTTACATAGTTCTCATGGGAAACACAGACATCTAAACACTTTCTGCTGGAAATGCCTTAGAATTCATAAGGTAAATATAGACAAGTACCAAAGGAAAGTTACACATCTTAAGGAAGCTGGTCTGGAAAATTGAGAATTTTTTTTTTTTAAATTTTACGGATCTACAGAGTGTTCAGGGTCTCACTGCTAGATCGGACTCATAGTGATCGGCTTGTTTACAGCCTCCCAAGAGCTGGGATTACAGGTGCTCATCACCACACCATCTGAAAGTAAGAATTTTGCCAGGCAAGTGTTTATTCTACTGAGTCATCTCCCCAGCCCCTAAAAGTGATAATTTTATTTCCCTTCCTCTGTCCAACTCCAGTAGCTCACGAGATAAGGTGCACACTTACGTCGCGTGTCCCTGGTCGAAGCCAGGGGAGGTCTCAGCACCATCAGGGTCACTGTCAGGGCTGCCACGCAGGAGCCTCCGGGGAGCCACAGGCGCAGCATCCTGGAGACAAGATGCGTCAGAGTGAAGCAGATGAGCCTCGCTTAATGAGAAACGTCTCTCCTGTCTGCTTACAAGTGAAATTATAAGGACATAGAAAGTTGTGATTTTTTTTTTTTTTTTTTTTGCTGTTTGGTCGGGGAATCCCAGTGCTGAAGAACCAATTCACATCACAGATGAACTGCATCATCAGTTGCTGGTCAGGAATTCAAGATGCAGGTACCCTTCTGAAAATTAGAGTTTTCTTCATTAAAATATTGTTTAAGAAGAGAATAAATATATGAAAAAATGCTCCACATCACTAGCCATCCGCGAAATGCAAATTAAAACAACATTGAGATATCATCTCACCCCACAAAGAATGGCTATCATAAAGAAATCACCCAACAACAAATGTTGGAGAGGCTGTGGGGAAAAAGGAACCCTTCTCCACTGC